TTTTTTTTTTTTTTGAGTCACTTCTGACTTGACGGTACCTAACAAGAGTTTATTCGGAATTCCCAGAATTATCGGGTAGGTCTAACTAGAAAAATTAAAAAAAATCCCTTTAGTATTTCTTAGTACAAGCCTAAGTGCCGCTCTGCCCAGGGTGTCGATGTGCATGAATGCCCACGTGTGTGTGGATGAGGAAAATAATTGGGAAATCAAGGCCTTGGGTTTTTTTTTTTTTAAATCTGTTTCTGACAACTTGAGTCTGCAGATGAAAAAGAAATTGACATTCAGAAATTTTTAACTTGTTAGTATTCCATTCAAATTGGATTATATACAACTAATGATTCTTTTTGGATGCCTTCCAGAGACAGATGGCACCGTGGTCAGAATTCACACAAAAGCTGAAGGACCCGCGGCTGTGGATGTACCCTTAGAACTGGTGTTCCATTTACCGGTCACGTACCCTCTGTGTCTACCTGGTGTCTCTGTTAACTCTGAACACCTGACCAGGGCCCAGTCTCTGATGGTGAAAGAGAAGTTACTTGAACAAGCACAGAACCTGTTGTCGGAACCAATGGTTCATGAACTTGTTCTCTGGGTTCAGCAGAATCTCAGACACATTGTCAACGAGCCTGGCACAGGAAGAGCCAATGAAAAGTGTGCTCTCCCAGCATCCAGCACAACTGTCGATGAGGGACTGTGGATGACGCTTTTGCATTTAGATCACATGAGAGCAAAGGCCAAATATGTCAGAACTATAGAGAAATGGGTATCAGATTTAAGGATAACTGGAAGACTGATGTTCATGGGGAGAATAATATTGATTTTACTACAAGGAGACAGAAACAGCATCAAGGTGCTAAAATGTTGTGTATTTTACTAATTTTTCCTCTTAAAATTATCTTTCTATTAGTATGTTTTATAACAATGAGATCATTTAATCATTACGATGTTTCTACTTTCACTATTACCAGGTTAATAGATCTTCCTTTTGTTTTTTTATTAAGAAATTCTTTATTAGTTCCTAATTAAAATCTAACCAAAATCTTGCAAAGCTTGAAGTATAAGATTTTATTTTTAAGATTGTGCTGCTTTGTGAAAGTGACAGATTATATAAACATTCTTGTGATAAAAATCGTGAGTGTAGTTTCTGTAATTAGCTGTAAGCCCCAGCTTTATAAGCATGCACTAAAAGTTTATGCATGTTAATATTATTTACCGTGGTAGTGAGACACAGCTAGGGGTATATTTGTGGGTAGTCGGCAAAACTTTAACACTGCGGCAGTTAAAAATACGTTCTGACATTTTAATTTGATATCTGTAATACCTGGAAAGAAGAGCTTGTCACTTATAACCAAGGTAGAAGTCGAATTGTTAAGGCTGGCAGCTTGTCACCTCCTACCTAACTTTTGCTTTCCAGCTGACTTGTCCCAGCAGCTGCTTTCAAAATCATCTTCTTCAGGTTTTTCAAGTCCTTATTCTCGACTCATCTAAGCGATTTTAAGTGGAACCAGATGACGAAAACTGCCTATTAAATTTTATATCACAAAAGAGCTACAAAACCACTTAATAGAGTTTATACTTTCTGATAGGTTGGGTCACGTTGAATTTGTTGAAAACAAATTTACCTTGTATAAGCTATAATCTTAAAGATCTGTAGAATCATAGCGGCTTTCATTTTCCACAGTGGACTCTTAGCACAAAACAAGTTTAATATTTGATCAATCCAGTTAGTGTTAGATTGTAGTATACATCAACAAACAAAAAAAAAAAACCTCACTCATTTTGGTATTAGAGAAGGAGAACCTTAATTAGAGAAAGACAGTCTTTCCACAGATGTTTTTTAGGATTGTCCTTTTAACTTGCTACTGTGTCAGTTCTTATTTACAGTGACCCTGTATACATATAACAAATAATTCAAGTTTAATATATATATAACCTGGTTTGGGGTCTGGCAAAAGAACCACATATTTCATATTTATTTAAAGTGCATCTACAAAATTTGATCCTGTTGGATAAAATATTGCTTGAGAATGTTGAATGTACATTAATTTCCCCAGAAGGCCTAGATTTTTCTTTAGTTCAACTTTGGTATATTAGACCACATACAAGAGCCTCAGTGGCACAGTGTGTATTATGTCAGGCTACTAATTGAAAGGTTGGTAGTTCAGGTCCACCAGCTGATCCACTGGTGAAGGATTGGCAGTTTTCCCCCATAAAGATTTACAGCTTTGGAAACATGATGGAGGGTCACACTGAGTCAGATTTGACTTGGTTGCAGTGGGTTTTATAGATACTGCTACCCAGATTGGATCCATCAATTAATTAACAAGTATGCTGACTTGAGCTCTTTGCTAAAATACAGAGGTGGTACTTTTTCTGAGGTTTTTTTTTTTTTTAAATAGCTGTCTCTAAAGTAGAATTTTATGTAAATATACTTCCTTAACATGATATATGCTGACACTGAGAAGTATATATTTACAGATGTCATCAATTTGAAATGGTAAGTGTTGTATGCCTGTTAACTTCATTTAGGTGTGTTTGGGTAATAATGACAGTAGCAATGCTAGTAAATGTGCCGTAGCACTCCATGTCAACCATTCCTCTAGGTGCTTTGCAAGTATTAGTTTATTTCAATATCACTGCTGCCCCAGAGGGAGACATTGTTAGGATTCTTGGAGGAAGTAACTGAAGCATGTTGTTGTGGTGGTGTACCATCGAATTAGAACTGACCCATAGTTGTCCTTCTAGTGGGTTTCTAGTGGCTGTTAATAACATGGGAGGTGATTGCCCATCCTTCTCCCAGAGCAGCTGGTGGATTCAAACCACCTATCTTTGGGTTGCCAGCACAGCTCCTTACTATGAGGCCATAGTTAGCTCAAAGTCAAGGTGGTCCCACTTAGATTCATAAAATAGAATTGACTTGAAAGGTTTGGATTTTAATTAGTCTGCTGGCCCCACTCTTCACTTTTGCATTCACCAAAATGTTATTTATCTAAGTATGTAAAAACTGCATAACTATCTTACTGTTTTGAGCCAGTAAAGAAAGTACTTTTTATGCATGAAAGTAAGCCTACACATTTATGGCTCCTTTAAAACCAGGCCTCTGAGATTCAGAATAAGTTATGTATTTAACACACTGATTTATCATTTAGGAGTACCTGATTCTTCAGAAAACCTCCAAAGTAGATGTGGACTCAAGTGGAAAGAAATGCAAAGAGAAAATGATTAGTGTCCTGTTTGAAACAAAAGTACAGACAGAACACAAAAGGTATAATTTAGTACTATTGCAGACAGAAAAGCAACTGAATCGATAATTACACTCTGACAAATGTAGGCATATCCATGAATTTCTCTTGTATAATGCAGGTTTCTGGCATTTGAAGTCAAAGAGTATTCATCGTTGGATGACTTACAAAAGGAATTTGAAACTGCAGGACTTAAGAAGCTTTTCTTCGAATTTGTACTTGGGCTCGTGAAATGAAATGGAAGACAGAGCCGTTTAGAAAAGCAGCACTGTTTTTGTTTGCTTCTTTTCTTTCTTTTGAATTTTGAGAGTACCTAATTGAAATATAGGAGCAATTTTATAATTTCTCTGAAGCAAAATGATAGACACCATCATCACTTCAGAAGTAAAAACTAATTCTGTTTTATGGAAAAAAAAAACCACAAAAAAAAAAAAACCAAACCCCAAGTATTTCTTTTAAAACACGCTTAAATGGTGACATTTTCCATGGAAAGTTAGGTGCAATTTATCTGAAAGATAAATTGGAAAGAAATTATTGTAATTGAGCCCTTGTTTTTATGTACAGGATGGGTTTGGGACCATATAATTTTCTGACTGGTTTTCTTATAATTTGGTGTTTTATTTGTAAGATTTATTTTCATACTTACCTAAAAAATGTTAGTATTTGATCATAATTTGTGTGTTCAGTTTTGTATATCAAATGTTTTAAGTTGAATGTTAAACAATAGCACTAATTTCTTTGCGAGAGTGCATAAATTATTGCTTTATTTAAACCCAAAGCAGTTCTATAGAACTGGATTTTCAGTTGTTTCCTTTGAGGTCAGAGAATGCTACTAGCTCTATATGATTAGAAAATAGATGTAAAACAAACTCTTATTTGAAAACCTTACCTTTTGATCTTATGAGAGAAATATTTCACACAACACGAACTTGGCTTGCTGGATAGATGAAATGACATTGAACTAGTATTTTTAATTTCTTATAAACTCTATAAAAGCATGATAATCTTTAAAATATATTTATTATGACTTGAGAAGATAAACCATAAAATAAAAGCTTGTGGTAAAATTTATAACAAATGTGTAAGCAGGCATTTGTGTCTGAGAAAGGATATTTGTGTGCATGAGGTCACTTGAGCTTCTAAAATAGGGGTCAGGTGATGGAAGAAAGGCCAAGTGAATTCCTCTTACTGCAATCTATAAAGTTCACTGACGTCATTATAAAATGATAACTGATGGAAAAGCTAAGTGAGGAAAACTTTTTAGCCTGATAAGTAGTATTTCTTGACAGTGTTTCTCTTGTGACTGTGGCAGTTCAAGAGCATCACCTCATTTTCAGGCACCATTGTAAATAAATTACCTTGAAAGACAGATCAGGTGTTCTGCTTCTGAAAGGTCATGCATGGCCTTGGAACCTCCTGGAGCCCAGCTCTGCTCTGATGGTGTGGGCTCTCCCTGAGTCATCCTTGAAGTAATGGCAAATAGCAACAACACTGATCATATCCCAGGGGTCTACTCATGAGAGGGAAAGGGGTTCCGTTGTATTTTATATCATTACTGAATGTTTATGATTTTTCCCTGGAGAACTGGAAATGTTCTGAGGGAAGAGCATATATGACCAAAGGGAAGATCTGCTAGCCTGCAAAACTAAAAGAATAGCCCTTAAAAATTATGAGATGGCTGCGATTTATTATCCTTTCATTTGATTTAATATAATGTGTGAGTGGAAATTAAAGTTTAAAAATGTTTAGAAAACAGTGTTGAGAGTCCTGACTGTGTGGTTGGGACTAGTATAAGGTGCTCCAAGACAGCAACCTTAAAAGTTACACCTTTAAGTCTTTAATAATGCAAATAGCAGAAAGTTGGGTCTGAATTTAATCACAACAAATTCTAGTCATCTTTATTTAACCTTGACTCTTCTCTGCTAATGTGTCTTTCCGTTCCATATTTTGTAATACTTCTTAAAAATTTCACCTTCATACTGGACTTTGTACCTTCAAAGAAGAGCTAGAATTAAACTCAATTGAAATCATGGTAATTACTTTCTTGAGCTTAAAACATGTTATATTCTGTCTACTGAAATGATGTTAAAAAATTTGTTATTATAATTACTTTTTTGTGTTTATATCTGAGCCTTTCACAAATATATACACATCTGGATAAATCTTAACAATGTTAGAGATTTACATATGTTTAATTGGATCCAATTTACATTGTTGTTGTTGTTATGTGCCGTCGAGTCGTTTCCGACTCATAGCGACCCTATGCAAAACAGCCCTAAACCCTGCTCTATCCTGTGCCAACCGCACTGCCTCTGACACACCCATCCCGATTACCCCAGTCACTGAATTGATCCATCTCATAGAGGGTCTTCCCCTC